ACAGAGCCACTCTGACTGGCTGTTTAGATTTTGCCAGTGCATTGTCTGGCAACAGCACAAACATTGCAAGCTGTAAACACAGTGCCGTTTTTATAAATGGCAATTCAGTAGGAATAAGAGCATTCATTTTCTACTTTTACAGTATAAGAAAGGTAGTGGAAGGTGGTTAAAGGATAAGAAAACTAAATAATAAATGTTTTCTTAGTTTCAATTATTTTGGAACTGTTAGCCCCTAACAGTTGAAAAGACTCTGTAAAGAAAGGTAGCACCCTTTGGAAAACATAACTGAAATGTTATAGAACATATATAAATGATTTTGTAGAAGTGACTTTTACTTTGTAAATTTATCTCTGCTGCAAATTTAGGCTCATTGGCAGAAACACTTTATCAAATGGGTCATCTTTTTTCTTTTTGGTGACCCAAAATGCTTTGGTTTTTTTTTTTTGCATTGATTTTTGAAGTAGTATGTAGGAGGGTATCCACCATTCTGGAGTAAATACCATCATCCCTAAAGCAGGCCATACATGGTTTGAATCTCAGCCAGTTCTGCAGGGCTGAATGTACCCAAGTTGATCGATTGATCAACTTGGGTATAACCAGCCTGTTGGATTTTATATGCCATTATTGCTAGTGACTATTATAGCTGCTACCAGTAATCAATGTGTTCTCAGGTCCTCAGACAGTTCCGGGACTGTTTCCCCCCTTCCCTGCCTATAGGCTCCACGGGAAGGATTCCCCCATCAACACTGACTGTGTCCAACTTTACACAGAATCCAAGAAAACAGTCAAGCATGGGACTTTGTAGATACTGATATAATAAGCATAATATGCCATATAATTCATAATGTTTATTATGAATCAATATTAAAAGTTTTGTTATGGAAAGAGGCACTCTGATGGGGAGTATGATGTAAAGGGGGACTCTGATGAGGAATATGATGTAAAGGGGCACTCTGATGGGGAAACATGATGGAAAGGGGTACTTTGAGTGTAAGGGGCCACTCTGATGGGAATGCCTGATGTAAGGTGGCACTGTGATGGGGATGCCTGATGTAAAGGGGCACTCTGAGGGGCACAACTGATGTAAAGGGGCACTCTGATGGGCACACCTGATGTGATGGGAATACATGCTGTATAGTTGCACTCTGATGGCGACACCTAATGTAAGGGGGCACACTGATGGGCACATCCTATTCGGACCTTGGCCAGAAGAAAATTTTAGTGACCGGGCCTCCTTGAATTTTAATTCAATACCCCTGATATATAGTATATCATAGGCTGTCAAATACATGAATGTGCAGATCTTCAAATAGGTAGTGGGAGGAATATCTTGAAATGTTTCATAGGCATATCAAAAAAGTGTCAAAAAGATATATATATTAGTGAGCAAAAAGAAAATTATAGAAAAGCAGCTAGCACAAAGTGGCAAACCCTCCTATTCCACTGGAACATAAATATACACACAAAGGTGCAGCACTGGTATCAGTCTATGTGAAAAATGCTAATAAACATGTGAACTAATATCTAATATTGTGCAAAAAAAAAAATATGACATGAATTAGAAATAAAGTCCACAGAAAGGTGCAATATCCAACAATATTGTGTGAATCAATGATGATCAACGGTGTAAGGTGACATCTGTGACAATCCTCCACCACTATGCACTCACCAGAAGCAAGAAATAAACCGGCTTTGTACAGAAATGTATATGTATTTTCATAGGCATATATTGCTAATTCCTAAGGAGATTGAGAAGGTATATAGCTACGAGCAAATAGATGGAGTTACACGTTTGTGCAAAGAATTTAAATCATAGTTGTCATTAATAGCCACATGTCACATACTGTTTTATATATAATATCAGGATAGAGCCAGACACATCTAAATCTGAATTCTGCCAACAGAGTGTACACCAACCATCCAGAGCCGACCATCAAAGCCTCAAGGGAACAGATTGCCCACATGGAAGAAAAATATATTTGAAATATAGGTTTTGTCCTTGGACCCCTACTGTTCTCCATGTACACCTCCTTCTTTGGGCACTTGATAAACTCCCATGGCTTTAAGTACCATCTCAATGCTGATGACACACACATCTATCTTTCTACCCCTCACCTCACCCCTTCAGTCTCATCTCGCATTACTAACCTACTAAGTGACATATTCGGCATGGATGTCACTCCACTTCCTCAAACTCAATCTTTCCAAAACTGAGCTCATACTATTCCCTCCAACCCGTGCCCCCTCCCCTGACTTCTCCATCAAGATCAATAATACAATCATCAGTCCCTCCCCTCATGCCAGGGTACTAGATGTAATCCTAGACTTCCATCTGTCCTTTCAGCCTTGACTATTGTAACTCCCTCCTCATTGGCCTACCTCATCGCAGGCTATCCCCTCTTCAATCCATCATGAATGCTGCTGCCAGACTCATCCACCTTACGATCTGTATCCGCCACCCCTCTCTGCCAATCCCTCCACTGGCTTCCCATTGCCCAACGTATAAAATTCAAAACATTAACAATAACATATAAAGCCATTTATAACTCTGCCCCAAATTATATCACCAATCTTGTCTCCAAATATCACCTAAACCATCCTCTCCGCTCCTCGCATGACCTCCTGCTCTCTAGCTCCCTTGTCTCCTCCTCCCATGATTTCTCCAGAGCTTCCCCCATCCTCTGGAACTCTCTACCCCAATTTATCAGACCATCGCCTACTCTGCTCACTTTTAGGCGATCTCTGAAAACCTATCTCTTCAGGGAAGCCTATCCTGCCCTCAGCTAATAATGGAATCTTCTACTCCTACTAGTCCATCCCCCACAGTTACTACCTTTTGTACCACTAGCCCCTCCCTCTTAGATTGCAAGCTCCAAGGAGCAGGGCCCTCCTAACCCTCTTGTATTGAACTGTATTGTTGCTGTAATGTCTCCCTTTATATTGTAAAGTGCTGAGCAAACTGTTGGCGCTATAAAAATCATTTATAATAATAATAATATTTAAAAAATATTCTTCACAAATATATTGACATATATTTGAAATGCTACAGTTTTGTCCATTTTCAATATATTTAAAAATAAATTTATATATATATATATATATATATATATATATATATATATATATATATATATATACTGCATGTTGAAATGCATTTTTATTACAAAACATATGAAAAATATTTTTAAAAATACATTTCAAATATACTGTATGTCTTTAAAAATGCAAATCTACATTGTTGGAATGCGTTTACAAATATGTGTAAAAATATATTTTGAAATGACTTTTTTATATGTAAAAAAAAATCTGAAGAATATATTTAAAAAATTTATATTTTTAAGAATATATATATTTTTTTAAATATATTCTTCAGATTTTTTTTTAACATGTAAAAGTCATTTTAACATATATTTTTACATATATTTATAAACGCATTCCAAAAATGCAGATTTGTATTTTTAAAGACATACAGTATATTTGAAATGTATTTCTAAAAATATTTTTCATGTATTTTGTAATAAAAACACATTTCAGCATGCAGTAGGTATATATATATATATATATATATATATATATATATATATATATATATATATACTGTATATATATTTATTTATTGAAACATATTTTGACATATATTGAATATGGCCAAAATTGTAGCATTTCAAATGTATGTCAATATATTTGGGAAGAATATTTTTAAAATATATTTCAAATATATTCTTCTTCCATATGGGTGGCTATACAATCATCGCTTAAATATTGGAAATTATTCAAGACAAGCTCACTCAAAGAAATGTTCCAAATGCATACACTTGCACCAACATATCTTTAGCATTTATAACAGTTTTTGACAATTGGAGATTGTTGTCTCCTATGATAGCACATTTTGGCTACTATTTGCTCAGCAGTTTTGTTTTAGGACATACTGTATGCCTTGTGTTCTTTTCCATTCTCATATGACAGCTGCAATCTGAAGTACCTTATAAAGGAAGCTCACTTACAAAAATAAAAACATGCTCAAAGACTGCTGCGGCAACACACAGGCACCTGCACCACGATATATGTCTGTTAACACACTTCCTCCTACTTTGGAGAAAGAAAACAAAATAGTGTTTATGGGCAAAACACGTGGGCATGAACTTTGAAGGTTATAGATTATGTTTTCAGCATAGAGGTAGAGGGATTAGGGCTACCGTTGTTTTTGTCTTGGCCCTCTGCTTTCACTCTTGCATGCTCTTTAGGGATTCAGATTTGGAAAACATCTGAAAGGTTTTTTTAAGCAATGTGTTGCAGGTGTTAGATATGTTTGTGAATGCTTCGGCAGATTTTGTTTTTAGATGGTTTACAAATACTTTTTTTTATTGAACTGTATACAGTGAATAACAAGGTTCCACTTATTTAATGCCCTCCTCTCTCCACTAAAAAACATCTGCAACAAACAAAGAAAAAAAGATTAGCTAATAATTGTATTTTTCCATTGGCTTCCGTTCGGCTAAGAGTAACGTGACCATCCTTCCAATAAGAGCCTAACAGTAACAAACAGGTTTTATACTTACTTGCTCTGTGAAGTGGAATTGCACAGAGTGGCCCCAGATCCTCCTCTTCTCAGGCCCCCCACTAGCGCTCCTGGCTCCTCCTCTATGTTGAGTGCCCCATAGAAAGCTGCTTCTCTGGGGGTACTCATGAGGGCTTGCTTCCAAACCTCCCTGCCTGCGTCTATTGACGCAGACAGCAGAACCTAGCCCTATGCCCGGTTCCCTCCCATATGGAAGAAAAATATACCGTATTTTTCGCTCCATAAGACGCACCTGACCATAAGACGCACCTAGGTTTTAGAGGGGAAAAACAAGAAAAAAAATATTCTGAACCAATGGACTGCAGACACAGTACAGGGGATGACCAGAGACTGCGGACATAGTACAGGAGATGACCAGAGACTGCAGACACAGTACAGGAGATGACCAGAGACTGCGGACACAGTACAGGAGATGACCAGAGACTGCGGACACAGTACAGGAGATGACCAGAGACTGCGGACACAGTACAGGAGATGACCAGAGACTGCGGACACAGTACAGGAGATGACCAGAGACTGCGCACACAGTACAGGAGATGACCAGAGACTGCGGACATAGTGCAGGGGATGACCAGAGACTGCGGACACAGTGCAGGGGATGACCAGAGACTGCGGACACAGTGCAGGGAATGACCAGAGACTGCAGACAGTGCAGGGAATGACCAGAGACTGCAGACAGTGCAGGGAATGACCAGAGACTGCTGACAGTGCAGGGAATGACCAGAGACTGCAGACAGTGCAGGGAATGATCAGAGACTGCAGACAGTGCAGGGAATGACCAGAGACTGCAGACAGTGCAGGGAATGACCAGAGACTGCTGACCTTTGGAGAGGGAGGGGGAGCGGGTACCTGAATTTGTCAGGTACCCGCTCCCACTTCCACGGAGTTGTCCTTCCTTTCTTCTTCCCGGGCCGGCTTCTGTGACAGCCGGGTGCCCACTGCGCGCATGCGCGAGAAGCGCTGCGCTTTGTGAATGGCCCGGCGCATTTTGGGACCTGTTATGTGTCCCAGAAGACACCGGATCATTCACAAAGCGCAGCACATGCGCAGTGGGCACCCGGCTGTCACAGAAGCCAGCACGGGAAGACTGTGCAGCGCTGGAGCGAGGAACAGGTAAGGCCCTGCAGGCGAGAACAGCTGAGCGGCCAGCCCGGTATTCTGACATGGTGGTGGCAGAAATACCGGACCGGCCGCTTTATATTCGCTCCATAAGACGCACTGACATTTTCCCCCCTTTTTTGGGGGGAAAAAAGTGCGTCTTATGGAGCGAAAAATACGGTATTTGAAATGCTACAATTTTGGCCATATTAGATATATTTCAAAATATATTTCAATAAATATATATATTGCATGTTGAAATGCATTTTTATTACAAAATACATGAAAAATATTTTTAAAAATACATTTCAAATATACTGTATGTCTTTAAAAATACAAATATAGATTTTTGGAATGCATTTACAAATATATGTAAAAAAATATATGTTATAATGACTTTTTTATATATAAACAAAATCTGAAGAGCATATTTAAAATATCTATATTTTTAAAACTATATATTTTTTATATAGATTCTTCAGATGTTTTTAACATATAATAAAAGTTTTAACATATATTTTTACATATATTTGTATATGCACTCCAAAAATGTAGATTTGTATTTTTAAAGACATATTTTAAATGTGTTTTTAAAAATATTATTCATATATTTATATGTGTGTATATATATATATATATATATTGAAATATATTTGAAATATATTGAATATGGCCAAAATTGTAGCATTTCAAATATATGGCAATATATTTGGGAAGAATATTTTAAAATATATTTTTCTTCCATGTGGGCTTTGTCATTAGATTTGATTGACAGCACCAGGATCCAATGGCTCTCACTGCCTTATCAAAGCCTGAGAGACTAGGAATGAGGAGAGAGTAGAGCTACAGACAGGCACAGCACTGAGGGCTCAGGTAAGTAAAAGGGGGGGGGGGGGGGGGGGGTGAGGGAAGATACTGATATCTAAACATCAGAGAGGACAGCAGAATCTCAGAACAGTCTTTACTCATTCTGCCTTTTGCATCTAGAGCAAATGTCTGTATTGGTGATGGTTGGTTATTTTAAGTTAGCTTGTCACAAACAATGGCAGCTTGTGTGTGCATAAATAAAAAAATTACTTTTTCTTTGGCTAGCTGTCTTTTATTCTCATATCTATTGTCACATCTTCACTGATTTAGGTAAACTGCAGCAGGCAGAGTTGCATGTTCTAGAAAATAAGTAGATAAGCCTGATCTAATTCACTTGATCACTCCTGGCAACTTGGAGATGTCTGGCTGATATATATTTTGGCTAGCCAATTTAGCACTTTGATTGATTGGAACTTATAATGTGTTATTCTAACAGATTATAGGCCTAATAAATGGAAATTGTAGATGCGTGCTTCTGTGAGATGGGGAAACAGCTCTCATTGTTTGAACACTGTTTGTGTGGAAGTAAATTAATGTTTTGACTGACATTCTGCGGTTTAGCCACAAGATGTCACTGTTTTTCTAACACAGCCTCAGACTGCATAGATATTTGTATATTCATGAAGATGTGGGGTTTTGCACACAGAGTTTGAGAGAACAGGAAGGAGAGAGAGAAGCCATGTTTTGGAGCATGGTGAATAAGGGGCCGTGTGAGCTGAGAATCTGATGACATCCAGGTGTGAAAGCGTCCCTCAGTAACCAGAGATTGCTGCCAGGAATGCTGGATATTGCTGCCAGGAATGCTGATGAGATTGCTGCCAGGAAGCTGATGAGATTGCTGCCAGGAATGCTGATGAGATTGCTGCCAGGAAGGCTGATGAGAGCAGAGGAACTAAGCAACATATACGGCAAGACCGCATGCTTGTTGGAGAGACATTTGTTCTGTTCAGAGTCACCAGCGGATGCAAAGCAGACCTGGGTCGGTAAGATCGTGCACGCACCTCATTTCAGTGTTGGCGCCTTGAGACTGAGTCCAGGCCTATAGTTAATTAGTTAGAGTCTCTGTTTGTGTCAGGCCACAAGTGTTGTTACTGATTATTGGAAGGACTCCACAACTTAAAGTGACATTTCACATTGGAGAGCTGATAAAATCCTACAAACTCAAGCCAGACTGGCGTTTTGCTCAGAAGGAATACTCAGGCACGTGCTACAGGACCAGTTATGGGAGGGGGAATACTGTAGATTTGTGTAAGATTGTAAGCTGTTGTGCTGCACCGCAGGCTAGCCCATACCATACACCCATACACTGATTCCTGCTCTTTTAGGGTAATAACAGGTAAGGTGTGGCAACTTATTTGTGCCCGCCAGTAGGCAAATTACTTCACTTTCTACCTTTGTCCATCAGAAGGTGCCATGCTGTGCAGCATAAGGGTCTCAGCCTTTGGGCTGGGTGTATGTAAATTTATTGTATATTTCCAGCATTTGTGGTTGTGCTTATTTGCTGCATCTAAGTAAAATTCTGTTGTGGCAAAAGCTGGTGTTGGGGTTGCTTTCCTCGTTCGTGACTTCACTGTATCCTGGGGAGCCCACCCCGGTACACGGCTTACACTTCCATAAATGTAAGCATCAGTATGTTTAAGTCTAATAGTGGCTTAAAGAGTAAGGTCAGATATACCATAGACATTGGTGCTAGTTGTTCTTCGACACCATGTAGTGTTCTCTGTCCAAACTATGATACCCAGGGGCGGACTGACCATTTGGAAACTCGGGCACTGCCCGAGGGCCCGGGGTCAGTAGGGGGCCCCATGAGATGCCCCTGGTACCTTTTATCATAGGCTTTTTTGAGTTTGGGCAAGGACACAGGGGCCCCATGATCCCCTATTGCCCGGGGGCCCCATGAGTTGTCAGTCCACCCCTGATGATACCATATATTCTACTGCACCCAAGACTGTAGCACCTCATTACAGGTTTAGAACTGCATTTGTAGGTTTGAATTCTGTATAGCTAGGGTATTAAGAAAATATTGGGGCAGTGGTATGAAGATCACTTTAGTCAAGTCTTTTACAGCAGAACAGAGTGAAAAACTAACAGGATTTAGCTCCAGCAATCTCCACTGATGTGACTTTTGGCAATATTTGACCTTGAAGAAGGATTTCTCTTCGCATATAAAGTGGTGGTGATCCACCCATGGTAAACTAATAAAATAGGTAGGATTTAGTAGAAAGGGGATGGAGCTTTGCAAGAAAGAATCTCTGAAACCTTTATGAAATGACAAGCAACATTTCATTTGTGCATGGGAAATACCTGGGGTGTACGATGGTGGTCTCATGTGATGTACTATTTGCAGTAGTTTAAAGTGGTAAAACTCTGGAACAGGCCCAGTCCTTTCATAAAGCATGCGTAAAGTGGCAGTTCACTACCAGTTGAGTAAAAGAAAAATATTTTAATAGGTACTGGCAACAACTGAACTGTTCTGTGGGGCATTGGAGACAGCACCAGATAACTAAGGGCTCGTTCACACTGGTCCGGCGTTTGTGGAGCGTTTTTTAACGCTCGGCAAACGTCGCATGCGCGGTTTAGCGGCGGTTGCTAGGCATTTGCCGAGCATTAATAACGCCCCACAAAGGCCTAGAATGCAGTTTGAGTGGTGTTACCACTCCGCAAACGCCCCACAACCGCGTCGCAACCGCACTGCAAACGCCAGCCGGGCGTTTGCGGAGTGGCACCATAGACGAGAAATAGGAGGCTTCAACGCCTCCTGACTCGACCAGAGGCGTCCGTTTTGCCGCGACGCGATGCAAACTCTCCCGTTAGAACAGCACCATGTGCTGTAATGTGCAGAATTGGCAGAGGCGTTTGGGAAGCGGTAAATCGCTTCCCAGACGCCTCTCTGCCGCCTGCACACAACGCTAGTGTGAACGTAGCCTAAAAGGGTCATCTAAAGAATTTTTTCTTACCCAGGTTGAAAGTTGTAGCTGACAGCCAAACCTTTGATAAAGACTTTAGCACTCTCTGAGTCTTTATCAAATGGTTGTCAATGATGTAACAGTGGGCCATGCACTCCTGACTAAAGAAGGAAACATATGGGTCTGGTGCTGGATGGATTTATAATAAAGTACATTTTCACCTGTCTAGAGTTGAGATGATTGTGGCTTAGTAGTTCACAGCTGTTCATGGAACATGTGCCCTCATAGGCTACAAGGGCAAATACACAAGTGAGTTACAGGTGGAAAAATGTATTTTAACAATTTAATTAATATCTAAAGTGTGATTCATATACTGTATATATCTCAGATTGTAATCTCTAACGATCAGGGCCCTCTGATTCCTCTTGTACCAAATTGTATAGTAACTGTCATATGTCAAATGTCAGCCTTCATTTTGTAAAGCGCTGTGCAAACTGTTGGCGCTATATAAATCCTGTATAATAATAATAACATGGAAGAGCTACAGTAATGGTGTTGCCTTGCTATTCTTTCAGATAAATGTTGTGCAGTAGCTAATATACTGTATACATACTAAAAACAAAGTAAATTTCTTTCTAGTGCCAGCTGCAAAATAAACGCTAATGTGACTTTCTATTATGACATTTTGACAACATTTTTAAGTAAATGAAAGAATTGAATCTGTATTGCAGAATAACAGAGTTTATGCCAATAACAAAGTTCAGGGAAATACGTAGGGCCACATCCTCATATAAAATGCTCTGGAAATATAATTTTCTCATAACAGCTTTCTGATTCAAATAAGTCTGACAAATATTACTTAGTGAACATTTATCATTCATAGCATTACAACAGTAGAGATGCCACTGATCCAAGCTATGTTGCTGTAGTTCTGACTACAGT